TTGGCGCCCTCTGCAGGTATTTGTTATAATATAGGCATATTACATTATGTATTTAACAGTGTTGTTCAGTAAAACCATTTACTTGGTTTTGATACTTTATTTGAGGCCAATTATTATTGCCTCATCGTTACTTTATATATAAATATAGTCATATTAAAACCTGTTTTTCATTTAGTTCTATTTGTATTACTAAAAAACATCAGATTACTCGCTTGTCAAAATAATCAGTAGATTACTTGATTAGCAAAATAATCATTAGTTAAGCCCTAGATTAGTTAAAACATTTCAAAATACAACTGCATTGTTTTACTTTTTGTGATTAAAAGACAAATATTTTGTCATTTAAAAATTCTTAAAGTATTAAAACATTGTCTCGTTCTAGTGAACCAAGTATCTGCATTTTGTCTCACCTTTTGAGCTAAGTGTATCGTCACACCCCTAGTGTCTGAGTGTGATAAAGCTCATAATTGTCCAAGTGTATGATATAGCTTTCATTCTTCAGGTCAATCATATATTCATGAAAAAAAATCAGTTTGAATAAGCAAAGCGATAACTTTGCCATAGTATCCTTTCAAATGTTAAAGTTGCCACAGTCATTGCATTCTTTGCATGTGCTGCACTTTATTTGTACCATTTTGTTTTATTAGTTTATTTATTAGAATTTGAAAGATAATAACAATATTGATTGATAAGTGAGATTTGATTTTAGTCCTTGAAAACCAAAAAATTAGTGCAAGTCCTTGAACGTCCTGGAATTTTATTTTGCAGTATCTGTATGAACACTGCTGAAGTTACCAGTTCTTGGACCATTTTAATGTTTCTGTTGTTGTTAATTGAACTGAAGTTTTCTGTAGTAAACTGTCTTTGTATATTTCCTATTTTATATTCATTTCCTAGTATTTAATTTACCATTATTTCTTTTGAACAAAACAATTTCAGAAATTTCATGTTTTAGATTGTAGGTAATCTTGTACACTGTCAAGGACAAAGCTAACCAGCAAAACTTGATATCAAAAACATCCTAAATGTTACATGTGATTACACCATATTGTAATGAGTAAACTTTCTTGGTATTGCAGTTTCAAATATCGCTCCATAGTCTGTAGTCTGAGCCTGTCAAGGGCTAATGGCAATGGCAGATACGTTACTAGGTAGTTTCAAGGAAAAACATTTTCAAATAATGTTCTTGTTTTTGTTTGCCAAATAACCCTGTGTATGTGTCCGCCCCTGCAACCCCCGGAAAAAAGTCAGGCTCAGGATTTTTTTGCTTTAACCCCTGCATATAGTTGTGACTCAAATATGTTTGTGTAACAATGTAAATAGCAAGGATTTTTTTGGAGGTGAAATGTTGTGTGTTTCTGTGTAGATCATTCGTAAAGTGGACAAGCAGACAGCGCTAATGGACGCCGATGATCCTGTGTCCCAACTACATAAATGTGCCTTCTACCTTAAAGATACAGAGAGGATGTATCTCTGCCTGTCACAAGAGAGGATAATTCAGTTCCAGGTCAGTCCACCGGTACTTCTAGAAATGTGCTTTTGGGCATAGATTTGAATTAATGCCCTATAATTGATGAAAACATGACATCTGTTAGAATTGCAATTTCTGTTCTTTAAATTAGTCTTTGAATTCTCATCTTCTTAATGATTTTGAGGCTCTGTAGCCTTTTAAATGTTAAATATTTGAAATAGTTTTCTTCTACTCTCAGGCCACACCCTGTCCCAAAGAAACTAACAAAGAAATGGTCAACGATGGGGCGTCGTGGACAATCATCAGCACAGACAAAGCAGAGTACACTTTCTATGAGGGGATGGGCCCTGTACCTTCACCTGTCACACCCGTGCCTGTTGTTGAAAGTTTACAGGTAATGCATGACTACGTACTACATCGAACTGTTTTATAATAAGAGAGCATGGACAATGTCATAGTTTTTGTAAGAAAGTAACCTTGAACCCTTTATGTTGTAGCTGAATGGAGGAGGAGACGTTGCCATGCTGGAACTCACAGGACAGAACTTCACGCCTAACCTAAGAGTCTGGTTTGGAGATGTAGAGGCAGACACAATGTACAGGTAAAACCAGCACACCAGTTACAGTGCTGTACAGTTCAGCAAATAGAACAGCACCTGGCAGTAGTGAATCATGCACATTTTAAAATAAGAGTCCTGGTGAATATTGGGCTTGTTCATAAAAAAAAAATAATAATAAATTGGGCTTGTTCATAATTAAAAGTTGTGCATTATGCATATAATCTTTTTTTTTTTTTTTTAGCAAGTCATTAAAATCAGTTTATTACCTTTCTTTAAACATCATTGTACACTGCGATTTCTATCTTTCTATCTATCTATCTACACAAAATAAAAAATAATACATGTCTAGAGTATTTTCAGTCTTCAGTATTTAAAGTCTTTATTGAATGTATACTGTAGAATTTTTAATGAAGTTAAAGAATCTAACATGCAGAATTTATTTTGAGATTGTATGGTTTTTATTAGATATAACTCTGGTTATAAAGGTCTTAAAGTCTTAACTTTGCAGATACCCTGTGATATATTAATCTCTATTTATGTTTTCCTGTGAGCATAATCGTTACAAATATATTGAGAATATTCATTACATTGTCAGCAATTCATAGTTCCACATTCTGTTTCCTGCAGGTGTGGCGAAAGTGTGCTCTGCGTGGTTCCCGATATTTCTGCGTTCCGTGAGGGGTGGCGTTGGGTTCGGCAGCCAGTGCAGGTTCCTGTGACTTTGGTCCGTAATGATGGCATCATCTACTCCACAGCTTTGACTTTTACCTACACGCCAGAGCCGGGACCACGTCCTCACTGCAGTGCCGCGGGAGCCATACTGCGGGCCAACAGCAACTCCTCCACCTCACCATCTTCATCCTCCAGCCTACTGCTGCAGTCAGCCATCGACAGCCAGGCAGGATACGCAGCAACAGGGAGCGTGTCTTCATCTTCCTCTTCCTCTGCTATGTCTGTCTCCTAACCTGGGAATCTCAGTGTGTGTTTGCATGTGTGAGTATGTGAGCCTTTGTGAGAGATGGTGATTGATGTCTTGTGAGACATAGATTCATGGGATACGGATCACAAAAATGGATAATGGTGCCACAGAGAGAGAAGAAAAGAGAGATAAGACTTCACACAAAGACTGGACAGAACAAATGAAGATGTCTCTTTTCTACTCTCTCTTTGTTGCGGTTCTTTTTCAGTCTGTTTCCTCACGTCGGGGGAAGTGGCTAAAGAAGTGATGTGTGCCGTGGATCAAGATGCCACAGGATCAACGCATTAGCCTTCCATAAAAACAATCAAAAAACAACAACGAAAAACACTTTATTTTCAAATCCAAGCCTTTTCTATGTGCAAGCTGGAAGTGGCTTTGAGTGATGTTGTTTTCTACTAAAGGGCTTAATGCACTGTTTCGCCAGGCTTGGAAGAAAAGTTATCATAGTAATATAGTTTTTACGGACCAAGGAATATTATTATTATTATTATTTTTATTGATATATAATTTTATAAGCTTTAGCTAAGGTACATTTTTCACCTTTTTCAGTTTTATAACATATAGTAAACTTTTGTTACCAAATAGTTTTGTATATTTCTTGTGAGCGTTTGGGCTCAGAAGGAAAAGGTTCATGCATTTTAAAAGCCTGAACTTATAGCTGCCTTTACTCGTCTTGGCAAATGCCTTAAGTCATCTGGAGTTTCACCAGACCCTTTCTGTTTTGTAATTATATTTTATGTCATGTATATTGGTCTTTTTCCCCATTCTTTTTTTTTTCTCCACTAAACCGAGATGTAATATTGATGCCATTTTTGTGTATTTGGGAGAAGGTGGCTCTACTGCTTTGTTAAACTTTTTTTTTTCTTTCATATGAAGTCTTTAACACAAAAGCTTTAACTGACTTTGACGGTTGGCCTTATGTGCCATATCGTACTCATCACATAAGCGTAGCCATTGATTTGGCCCTTTTTCATTGGCTATAGATGTTCAAGCTGCCAACACAATTGGTAACCTATAAAAATCCCACACCAAATGGCTTACATTTCGTTTAACATAAACGCACAAAAATCCTTTTAATGGGTTAGCGATTTCTAATTAATTGGTCGACTCAATTCCTGTGGTAGGGAAGGACTGTACAGTTCTCGTTTGCATATCATTCACGCTTTCAGTGTCACGATTACTGTTAGTATCAGACTAAAATCAGCATGTAGAAAAACTGCTGCTTTGTCGTCATGTGGTTAAACCATATAGAGAAGGAATTGTGGGGATTCTGTAAGTACAGTCATGTTACAAGTAGCTTGAATGAATGAAAGTTCAGTGTTTCTAGACAGGGATGTCCAAAATGACTTCTTTTCAGAATCAACTAATTTAGGCCCAGATTTACAAACACTTTTTTTGGTGTTAAAAAACTACTGTCAGGATTTACTAAAGACGCAGTGGAAAATTTGATGAAAAGGCATGGACACGGTTATTTTATGCATTTGTAGGCATTTCCCACAAATTAATGGGAAGAGAGGATTTTAGGTTTGTGGTAGTCAGTTAACCATTATTTAACACCCAAAAAAAGCATGTCTTAACCTGTTTTGCGCTTGATAGTTTGCTTGTGGTAGATTGCGTTGGTCATTGGAAATGATGTTAATTTGCACATTGTCAGTAGATCACCCACAAAACTTTCCACTCCTGTCAGCGCTTTTATGGTATTGTGGTCTCACACTAATTTTCCTTAGTAAATCTGACACTTAACGGGTTGCCTGACACGCTCGTCGACTAATCAGTTTTATAGTTAACAGTTTTTAACTAAACGTGGCATCACTTGTACTGGGATACTCAAATGGATGTACTAAAAATCTAGATAATCTAGTCAACCTCACTAACTGACTAGCTTGTTTTTGGACCCATCCCTGCATGTAGTCAACTAGATTATCTGTGTCAAGCTGAATGGAAAGAACCGGAATCTTATCCTGCCTTTCATATATTTTGACGGCAGAAACTGCAGAAGTGAGCCTTTGTGAGCATCACTGCTACATAAAAATGTGCCCTTTTAAATTGATGTCACTCACATGCAATTTTTTTTAAGGTTTGTGGTAGTCAGTTAACCATTATTTAACACCCAAAAAAAGCATGTCTTAACCTGTTTTGCGCTTGATAGTTTGCTTGTGGTAGATTGCGTTGGTCATTGGAAATGATGTTAATTTGCACATTGTCAGTAGATCACCCACAAAACTTTCCACTCCTGTCAGCGCTTTTATGGTATTGTGGTCTCACACTAATTTTCCTTAGTAAATCTGACACTTAACGGGTTGCCTGACACGCTCGTCGACTAATCAGTTTTATAGTTAACAGTTTTTAACTAAACGTGGCATCACTTGTACTGGGATACTCAAATGGATGTACTAAAAATCTAGATAATCTAGTCAACCTCACTAACTGACTAGCTTGTTTTTGGACCCATCCCTGCATGTAGTCAACTAGATTATCTGTGTCAAGCTGAATGGAAAGAACCGGAATCTTATCCTGCCTTTCATATATTTTGACGGCAGAAACTGCAGAAGTGGCACGGCCTTTGTGAGCATCACTGCTACATAAAAATGTGCCCTTTTAAATTGATGTCACTCACATGCAATTTTTTTTTATCAAATGTTTAGTACCAAATGCTCACTTCTGTAATAGCTGTAGTCTAAAGCAAACTAAAAATGAGGCCTTAAACCACTACTGCTTAATAACAGGATCTGTTGGTAAAATGTTACACTACAAATGATGTCCTTTTGTGAAAAGGGCATGATTGTTTGTTTATACCTTTTTTTTCAGTATAATTCACAGAGCAAACTCGATTCTCAATTCTGCTATTTCTGTGCTTCTTATTTTCTTTCCTTGTACTTTTCCCGCCCCACACACCACTCTGTATGCATAGTCTCATCAGAGAGAAAGAGACACTTGTGAAATAGCATGCTCTGGAATTTGCTTTTAATCAGTTATGGACTGCATTTTGTTATTGTTTGGGATTATATAGGAACGGCAGAAGTAGTTCCTCAGTGGTTTTGGTTCTTTTAATTGATCAGTTTCTAACATGGCTAATAATAATAATATATATGAGTCTAAATGTTATTTTGATTATTTTATGTAACATTGTATTACATTTAATGGTTATGTTAATATTTCTAAATATTTCTTCCATGATTGAGGGAAAGTTACTATGAAACTTTTGTATATCATTATTTTTAAGTAGTCAGGCCGTGTTTGGTCTGCATTAGAAACTGTTGCTTTGGAAGAAATAAAAGCCAAAACCCAGTCATTCTTGCAAAGCCATTTACTAGTATCTACTGTGAGCAATTCCTCAATCAGGGAAGAATATTAAAGCATACCTAGTGCAAGTGCCGAAATGGAAACTGCCAAATCTAAAAGGTCAAATTGTGAAGGTCACGCCTAACTTTTCCACTTTTGTTTTCAGTGTTATTTTCCTCTTGTATCCAGTTGTCTTCCAGTGTGTTCGAATCAGAGGACCTGATCAAGACTAACCATGTTGAGTTTGATCATTTCTATCTATCACATAAGTTAGTTTGCCTGTCACCTGTGCCACTGTGCTTACATTGAACAGAAACTAGCGTGTTAGATCACTGTTATCTTTGTCGGTTTTGTCTGTAGAAAAAAAAAAGGGTGAGAATTGGTGTCTGTTTTCTCAACCGTTTCAATGGATTGTTTTACATTTTGGAAGTTACCAGCCTTTGCCAAATGGCTACCAGCTGTTCTGGTTTTGAGTGCATGCTCTCTAGCAGATTTGAACTGTATTGGTGCTGTCTAACTCCTAAAGGGCCAGTGTATCTGTTGCTTTTGGAATGGATCACTAAACACTGTAATAGATTCAAAAAAGTGTCAGGTTGTTCATTTGTTTTTGTCTTTACGGTGCTAAATTGCATAATACACACCCATCAAGGACGTGTGGTACGGAGATTCAAGTACTGCCAAATGATTACTGTGTAAGTAAAGGGATAGTTCTGTCATCCTTTGCTCACTCTCATGTCATTCCAAAACTGTATGAGTTTTGTTTTTCTATGGAACACAACAGAATATATTTTAAGGAATGTTTTGGCTGTTTTTTCCAATACAATGAAAGTCAGTGGGATCTGAAAAATGCTGGACCTATTGACTTTTATTGTATGGACTAAATAATAAATGAATATAAATTGTATACATATATAGAAAGTGTACACACCCACACACACACTAGCTGTTAAAAATTGGGAAAAATTAGCATGTTAATGTTTTTGAAAGTAGTATGCTCACCAAGGCTGCATTTTTTTTAAATTAAAAATACAATACAAATCATAATCCTGTGAAATGTTTTCTATATTGAATACATTTTAAAATGCAATTTATTTCTGTGAGCAGCCATTGCTCTAGTATTCAGTGTCACATGATCCTTTGGTTGTCAATCATGAATAATGGTTCTTATTATTATCATCAGTGTTTTGCTGACATTTTTTTTGTGAAAACCACTATTCATCCCACACACACACTAGCTGTTAAAAATTGGGAAAAATTAGCATGTTAATGTTTTTGAAAGTAGTATGCTCACCAAGGCTGCATTTTTTTAAATTAAAAATACAATACAAATCATAATCCTGTGAAATGTTTTCTATATTGAATACATTTTAAAATGCAATTTATTTCTGTGAGCAGCCATTGCTCTAGTATTCAGTGTCACATGATCCTTCAGAAATCATCCTGTTATTCTGATTTGGTTGTCAATCATGAATAATGGTTCTTATTATTATTATTATCATCAGTGTTTTGCTGACATTTTTTTTGTGAAAACCACTATTCATTTTTTTTTCAGGATTCTTTGAGGAATAGAATGTTCTAAAGCATTTATTTTAAATTGAAATATTTAGTAATATTGTAAATGTGTATTCTGTTACTTCTGATATATATTGATGCATATTAAAAAGACTTCAGAAGGATCCTGTGACACTGAAGACTGCAGTAATGGCTGCTAAAAATTCAGTTTTGCCATAGAATTTAAATACATTTTAAAATAAGAAATATAATGATTGTTTTAAATTGCAAAAAATATTTCACAGTATTACTATTTTTACTGTATTTTTGATCAAATAAATGCAACCCCGGTGAACAGACTACATTAAAAATATTTTCAGTCTAGTTTTGAGTACAAATGTCCTGATCAAATAGTAAATTAATCAGATGCTAAAAATAACAAACAGTTAATAAACAGTTACTTGTTGCTTCATACGATTTTTATATGATTCATAATAAAAAGTGTTTCTTAGAGAACTTTAGGGGAATCCCCAGTTTAGTCAGGCAGCGCTGCAGTGCAGGAAACGCTACAGTATAGCAGTATGGTCAGTGTTGGGGTAACGCATTTCAAGTAATGCGAGTTACGTAATCGGATTACTTTTTTCAAGTAACTAGTAAAGTAACGCATTACTTTTTAAATTTACAAGATAATATCTGAGTTACTTTTTCAAATAAGTAAAAAAAAAAAAATGCAGTATTCCTCAATTAATAAAAATAATGCTACTCAGAATATGACGCAAACCTGCAATAATTAAATGTTAAACACAAATATCCTTTATGTATTTAATCCCATTCTATTAACCAATGTCTTTGCTTCTGACCTTCGATGATCCAGTTCAACCGTACTAATAAGCAAAAATTACTCTAGACAAACATTTGTGTCTTTTTTTTATCGCTGAAGTGTGTTGAAATGTCTTCTTCTGCATTCTACTGT